GCTTGATGTTCTTTTTTGGCAGCTCTAATGACTGATCGGAGCTTTTTAGCATACACTGCACGTTGGAGAGGTGATTCTGCCGCTCGATATTCAGCCCGTGCTTCCTTACACGCCGGGGTCCACCACGGGGCTGTTTTACCGCCGTTTGCTCTGGGTCGAGTTCCTGTTGCATTGATGGCAGTCTTAAGCTTTAAGCAAAGTTCCTGGGCATATTCTTCGACCTTTTCGATTGTATCTAAAACTGGCGGTAGACGGACCAACTTAGTAACAGCTCGTGCAAAGTCGGGCAGTCTTTCCTTCGTCACTCGAATCTTGCCCAAGTTGGGTCTCAATGTTGCGGACTGGAACGGGATTATTCCTCGGATAGGAAGGTGGTCGCTGGTGACACATTCATCATGGTCGACCCATGCACGGCTGCCATTAATGTTGGTCCAGACGAGGTCCAGGGTATTTCCAGCTTGATGCGTGGGTTCTCCAACAATAAGGCAGGTTAGGTTGTGATCTTCTGCCCATCTTTCAATCATTTCACCTTGCCCGTAGGGGCTCGTGATTCCTGGTTGCCAGACACAGTACACCGAATTGAAATCACCCGCAGCGACTGAGTTCGGCGGCGGGGTCCAATTGATAAGTGGCTGTACGGCTGATGTGTCTCTGGGTGCCTTTTACACATTGAGGAAAGTGACTCCATTAACAAGCACCCAGCAATAGTCGCCCGTCAGCTTAGCGCAGGGGAAGAGTTGCCTCGCTGATATTGTCCTATCATCTTTCCGGGTGTAGGTCACAGCCCTTGGGCTGACCTTTTCGCCACCATGAGGTAAATGGCAAATGTATCCAGGATACGACATTGTCTCTTCTTTCCACCGAGGTTTTTGAATTAGGACTACGTCGATATTCAGCTCGAATGCTCGGGCAAGTGAAATATTCTGTGTTGGACCTCCTCTACCTACGTTTATTGATATGAAACTTAGAGTAGGAGGGAGGCGGAAAGGGGCCCGTGGGGCGCCCTTTATGAGTGATTTTTTCGGGACGACCGCCTCTGTGATCTCAGTCACGTTTGGCGTCTCATCCGTCATTAGAACCTCGTAGCTGTTATGGGAGCTGTAGTTCGGCGTAGCTATTTTGGCCATCTCAGTGGCGGCTTTGATATCGGCCTCTGCTCGTCGAACGGCGGTTTTCGCCCGGATCACCGCGGCATATTCGCATTGGCTAGCGTTCCTGATCTTTTCGAGGGTTTCCCTAGAAGCCATTTCGGACTTATTAGGGCGGGCCAGACAGTTTCGGCTGTCTGATCTGTGAGGACCCCCGCAGTTGCGGCACTTTGTGTGTCCTTGGCATTCCGAAGTGGAGTGCATTGTTGAGGTGCAGTTCCAGCACACTGGGGCGCGCGAGCAACTCTGGGTCCCGTGGTATAAGAGACATCGCTTGCATTGGCTCACAGTTTGGCATGGCTGATGGCGAACAGCGATTCCCGAGTCGTCACATAGTCGGAAGCCTGGTCTAGGGACGGACGCTCTTTCAAAATGAGCTACCCATGTCTGGTATGGGGCTCCAACTCTCCCTTTTCCATGAGGGTGGACCCTTACCGGAACCTTTGAAGTGACCCTGGCGATTTCTTCGACCACCATCTCGTCGGTGACAACTACTTTACCTAGGAGTATGTGAATTTCGACGGGAATTGTCGCAATACGAAGGGCCACTAAATCTGAGGCCTTCTCCAGGATTGCGTCTACCTGGACGAAAGACTCAGCAGATTTCAGAAGGAGCTGTCGTACCTCCAGGTTTTTGGCTCGGAGTGCAAAGCCTGTCGGAACACGGTATACATGTTCAATATTCTGCGGGGGTATCTCGAGCAATTTTGCTGTCGCATCTCGGACACCGGCCGGCGAGAGTGCGCGCTAAGCATGTTCTTTTCCGAGTCGAAGAAACAAACGATCATCTTTGGGGCCAGTTTTCTTAACTTTTGCCGGAGGTCTCGTTGGAGTCGGGGGTTTTTTATGGACCCGCACATCTTTCACAGGTGCTGCTGGCGTGTGGAGGCCAGTTCGGGTAACTGTTGCCCAGGTAGGTTTGACCTGGGTCACCTTGACCTGGGTCGCTTTTTGTAGCAGCTCTGGCTGCTTTTCAATCGTTTGTTCAATGATCTTTCCACCATGATTCTGGCAGTTTGGTCGTGGGGGGAGGTTGGGAAGGACTGTTCCTGGTCCCGACATCATGAATTGAGCTATTGCAGCTCGGAGGTAGACTTTCATGGAGTCTATAAATTGAACGCTTGACCTCTTGAATAGAGGTGAGAGCGCATTCTCCACACCATTGATAGCAGCGGTGCATATTGTGAGATTAGTTGCGGTCTGGGCCGCTCGCTGTTCTTCGGCTTCAAGTATGGCTCGAAGCTCGGGAGGACAAGTCGCAGTGTTCTTTGGGTTGCCATCGCTGCAAGAAGTTTGATTATTTCCACTTGTCCTCGGAATGGGGTTCTGAGGGGCTGTGGTTGACGTGGCTTTGTCGGCCTTCTTTAAGTTAACATTAGCTGTCCGCTTCATGGCCGGCACAGCAATCTTCCTCGTGTCTGTAATAACGGGGGTCTCTGAGACCTGGCCGTCTTCGGGTTCACTGACATTCCATCGTGAGCTCTCAAGCCCCTCCATGATATATCGGTCGATAACCACATCACCCATTTCAACATCTGGGTTTGTGGAGTTAGAATCTTCTTCAAAGGCTCTTATCCTCTCGGTCATTTCCGACTCCATTTTTCGCTCGTCTATCGAGCTCAATGGTATGTTCTTTTATGCCAAGCGCTTTTTCAGCCTGGTATTCGCTCTATCAATTGTTCTTTGATGAAGAATAGGTCGCGATTATTTGGCAGGCCCCGGAGACATATTGGAGATCCGGGGTCTTGCTACTGTGAGAATTCGAATTAGTGTAATTGTATGCGAGTTGGAGGGGGACGGTAATGGTAATGGGGTATCTTATTGATTCTCTCATGAATATTCAGGAATTCTAGCTTTGATATTGTGTCATAGCTAGATAGCTGCATACGTTATTAAAATCTGATGCAAAAAAAAGTCATAAACTCATGTGGCAAAAACGCACAAATTTTATGCAGCCGATCATTATACCAATTGGGTTTAGTACGAAGGAAAGACATACTGCAAACTATGGTGTCCAGAAAAAAATTGCCATACAAATGTTTTCAAAAAAAAAATACGGGGGCTAGCTCCAATATGGAAGGTGACCATGCCAAAGGAGTCTTAGTTTCCTCGCTAAAACCCCATTGCAAACTTGACACCGTGGCAGCATAGTAGAGCCCATCCTTATCTTGTAGGCGCAAGCGAGTTTGTAAATCTTTTCAATGTATGGGAGTATTATTAGATCTAGTGTAAAGGGCCAGGGTATCCGGAACAGGCATTGTAATTGTAAAGGGCCGTGGCTCACCCCCTTCTAAATTCCTCATGGAAAATATAGACATATAATTGTAGCACTGCTTTCGTGCATGGGCCGAAAGTCCTAGTCCGTCACAGGTCTTATGATATGAGACGACGATAAAAAGGAAAGAAAACTGAAGAGGCCCCTGTGGGCGACTCAATGAGGCAGCCAGTGAAGAATGCAACGCCTGGATAAGATAAGGAGATAGTGAAATAAGTAACGGTTGGTAGTGAACAAAAAGCAGTAATTAGATATAGGAAGTTATCAAGGGCCCGGGCGCGTGGTGGCCGAGGCTGAGAAGTTGCGTTTGGGTCCGTCAAACTCAGGTTCTCTGGACGGTTGGACTTGACATGTTCAACAGATGAGAAAAGCCTGAGGTAGTCCCGTCATTGAGATGGAAAGATGTTTATTATACTTGTAAGATAGATAACCTGATCTAGCACTGCATCCCTCGTGCTCAAGGTACCATAGGATTGCGGAGGGTGCCAATTGCCTAGCGCGTTAATAAACCAAAACAAACCTGTAGAGTTCGTTGATTCGCATCCCACCGAGAACTCCTTGTTTATATAAGTATGCCAATTTAGAATTTCATAACGTCAATTAACAAAAACGCAGATCTCTTCTTTGGCACGACCCCATCCAGTACTCTGTGATCTGGATACACAGCCACTGCCCCAAATCAAAAAGACTGCTGCGAGGAATTCCGAGGTCTGAGCAGTTGGAAAGCTTGTAGTCTGTCATACATCCAGCTCATTTAGCTCGTATGTAAGCTCCAAAGGTCATCGATATATCATCTGTGTAGCAGCAGCTGCAATCTACACATGCGAAAGTAAGTTTACATCTTTAATACGAACTAAGATCTGGTTATCTGCACTGTGACGTATCTGGGGAACAGCAACACGGCATTGTTCGACACTGCGAGCCGGCAGAAGCTGGGGAGTTTCATACTCTCGAGCCCCCTTATTCATACTGTCGAAAATAGCAGATCACTACTATTGCCTCCGACAGAATTTCATTATTGGTGACCAGCAGCAGAAGTAGTAGTAGCTTGTTGAATTCCTCCAATCGATCTTCGTGGTGATTAATCGTTCCAGCAAAATTTTGTAGTGAAAGAAAGATGATGAAGGCAAAACGCTCCGAGATGTAACTAATTACACTCTTGTCGGTCCGTCAATCCGACATTAATTTGATAATTTGTTTTTACCGCAAGCCATAGTTCACGGGTGGACCTCGGAATTTCCGCGCCAGGTTGGGTTATCGAGATTTCATAAAATACTACTCCACGCAGTCCTGGAGTGATTGCGCATACACCCACGCCAAATTTCCGCCAACCACCCTGGAAAGTAGCCCTCTTCTCTTATCGTCATCTCCAAGACATAGAAATTCCCGCTCTACCCTGATCGTTTGGGATAGGCTGATCGACAAGACCGGAGATGAAGCATGCTTTAAATTTTCTATTTGTTTACTACCCGTGGACCCACCCATTTCTTGAGCTCTAGCAGTGGTGAGAGAATTACACCTTGTCATTTTGAAAAATATTTCTCCACAGACGCTAGGGCAGCCAATGTTGCATAAAAATGCTTTCCACTTACTTACGTTCAAAAAAAAGTCGCCGACGACATTCTACTGAAGACACTGCCTCAAACATATCGACTCCCTATTCACAACAACGCCATGCCACTGCCGACTTCACCGAAACAGAGGAAGATGATATCTCAGACGATGATGATAACGGATCAAGGCGAGATTCGGAGGAAGATGATGAAGACGAGGAAGATGCCAATGAAGATGGAGAAGAGTCTCATCTATTACCGCTATTTAGCTCAGCACATCTTGGTTTGTTCTCCATATTTCATTCTTTACAATACTAACTTTAAAAAAGATTCTCTACCGGTTTATAGTTTAACGCATGCAATTCGTATGATAGTACTTCCACGAACAGAAACAACTTTATCATGGGACCAGCTCCGATCTCCCCAGGTATCACAATTCCTCGTCAAACCTATGCAACAGCAAATAAGAACATCGCATTTCTCCCGTGCCACTCTTTATGCACTGATGGCAAATTGTCTCCAGTTTCAAAAGGAAAGTCAGTCAAACCCCGGGACTGCTGGATCCAGCAAAACGAGAGCCTTGGTTTGTGAACTTCTAGCAATAAAATTACTCAAAGAATATAACGTTCGAGAGCTAATAGATGCTCTCTCATACGATTTCTTCCCATTACAAGGTGTAGAAAATGCCGCAGCAATGGGCCGGTTTGGAAAGTTGAATAGTCTCCCAGCAATTGTCCGAATATCAACTCTAGAAATATCTATTCGAGCTTCTGCTAAGAGATTTCTGGCTCATCCTCTTGTCATACAACAACTAGAGTCAATATGGGCAGGAACAATTGTGTTTCACTCGCATGCAGACAACCTCCATAGGCGCTTGCTAGAGGTGCCACGAAATCCTGACGAAAATACAAATCTAGACCCTCACAGACAAAATTTCAGTTATGGAACTTCGCCCGTATCGGATAAACCAACAGAGCTGTCACACGTAGCTACATCACGAAGAACTGTCACCATGTATGATCCGCAGGACGCTTCCCTTTTCAAGCTTTCAAGACTGAGAGTTCCACGGTACCGTCAATTCTTCTCGACATGCTCTTTAGCCATTCTACTTGGACTATTTGTAGCTGTTCTAAACCGCCGATCAACTAATATAACAACCCTAGAAGTCGTATTCTGGTTTTGGAGTGCTGGCTTTATGCTGGATGAAGTAGTTGGATTTAACGAACAAGGCTTCAGCCTCTACATTATGAGGTTTGAAGTTTTTACTCGGAGCCGATAATAAGCTAACTTTTCTTCTAGTTTCTGGAATGCCTTTGACCTCGGAATACTTCTACTTCTGAGCGTTTACTATTGCATGAGACTCTATGGAATATTCCTAGTCGACACAGGGCGCCAAGAGTGGAACTCAATGGCCTACGACGTTTTGGCCACAAACGCAATATTGTTGTTTCCTCGTCTATTTAGTGTGTTGGATCACTATCGTTACTTTTCTCAGCTTCTAATAGCTTTCCGACTCATGGCAATAGATCTTGTTGCAGTATTTGTTTTGATACTTGTGTCATGTAGTGGTTTTTTTGTTGCATTCACCTTATCATTCAGCAAAGATGGTTACAATGCTGCTGAGATTGCATACAGGATATTCCAAATCCTCATGGGCTTCACTCCAGCCGCCTGGGAGGTTTGGCCCGCTTTTAATCCTCTCGGTCGAGCTTTAATGGTGTTGTTCTTGTTCATGTGTCATTTCCTTGTTGTTACAATTTTGATTACTGTACTAACGAACTCTTTCATGGCCATTGTTTCCAACGCAGAGCAGGAACACCAGTTTGTGTTTGCTGTGAACACAATAAGCATGGTCAAAAACGATGCTCTTTTCTCTTACGTGGCTCCAAGTAATATTCTTGCTTGGTTTCTAACTCCTATGCGCCTAATTCTCTCATTCAGGACTTTTATTAGAGTGAACCGGATGACTATTAAACTCACACACTTTCCATTACTTTTCGGAATTTTTGTCTATGAAAAGATATTCTTGTCCTGGTCAGTATTTGAACCAACATTTGTCGTGGAGAGAGAAAAAGGAAAAGGAGTTCAATTTCAGGAGCGAAAACTCCGACTTCGACAAGAGTCAGCAGCTGGTTTCAAAGATCGGGCCCTAGAGGAAGTATTTCGATTAGCACCTCGACCTGACACCCTGAGGAAGAATTCGGATCAGGTTAAAAGTCAAAACGCCATTAAAAATTGGATGAATCAACACACTCCTCCCCCTGACGATGGTTCTGCCATTGACCGTGGAGAAGCAAGACAGGCTCGTATTAATCGAGCTCTTTCTGGTACTAGATCAGCGGCTAGCGACCCTGTTATCACAACTGGAGCTTTCAGCTTTGCTGGCAGCTCAAGCGATGATGCTATTGATGATAGAGAAGATGAGACAGAAACACATGACGACATGACACCAAACCAGGCTAACTTTAATGCGTCAAGCCCTGAAAGAAATGGCATCAGAAACCCCGAATTACGAAAACTAAGATCACCCAGCACATCCGTAGATATTGGCAATAGACCTTCACGATCGGCAAAATCACCCTTAAGGAAATCACATTACCGGAATATGTCCACAAACACAATAGTTTTCAACCCAGTCTCTGACCCTGAACCTTCGGTATCTCCTGCAAATGCTAGACCTCCTACTGCCAAGAAAATAGGGATAGTGCCAGGTCTCACTCCAGAACGAAAGTCTCTCAAGCCGTCCGTATATGGCAAATCTCACCCACGCGTTATCATTCCTCCCCGTGGAATGAATTTTAATATAAATCCCACCATGTCTAGAACTCGTCAAATGAAGCATAGGAGGTCGAGCCTTGAAATGGTCACCTCACAAGTTGGTCTCGATCCTGCAATGTTAGGAGCTGTACCCAGCTCATTTGCCACGCAGATGGCCATGGCTACTGGTGCACTAAAAAATGTAATGAGAGACCAGGATAATGAAGGAATGATGGGGAGACTAATGTTGGCAAGAATGAAAACATTAGAAGAAGGGTTTGCAGAAGTCGTTAAAGAGTTTAGAGTGATGAGAAACACAGGAAGCAGCTCGTCAGAAAGTAACTCTAGAATTAAGACCAAACCTATCGGTGAAACATCTAAGGGGGTCATTAGCGATAAACTAGTAGTCAAGGGGCCACACAAGTAAGGTTGCAGCTTTCACTTTATAGTTTAACGTGCTTGCACTGTTTTCATGGTCTAATTTCAGCTTTGGCGTTAAAATGCGTATATGATGGTAATAGGCTTTGGAACATGGGGATATCTTAGCGTGAAAGGGTCTCTGAAGTTATTCTCCAAATTTGTAAATAAATTCCTAACATGAAAAAGATATATTTCATGTAATTAATCTATTGCAATCACACAGTCAGCTTCCGAAGCTTCACTCGAAATTGAGGTGCTAGTTTTATGGAGTTGACAAAGATTACCACCAGTACTATGCTCTATTTTAAGACTCCTCAAAATCTGGGCCATGCCTTTCGTGAAGAAAATTGGAAATTCGACAAATAAGAGTAAATGTTTGAATTTGATTTCATTATCCTGATTTGGCGCCCTATGGGCCCATGCAGGTGTCTACAGTCTATAATATTTACCCGGGAGGAAACCTTTATGGTGAAAACCTCCCACACCTTTCTATTTGTTGTCTATAGTCCTCACATATTTTCTTCAGGAAGCGTAGTTACACTATAGTGCCATCCATGTAAACTAACCAGATCATCTCTATCCTCCCCGAGCATTATTTGACCTTTTCCTTTCCCTCAGCAGTATTTCGACCGCTTTTGTCATCTGGAATTGCTCTATCCAACTATGGTTTAGGATCCACTGTGTTATCCTTTTTATATCTCCAGGATTACTTAACATCGCTTCGTAGGATCGATCTTTGGCTTGTCTCCAGATCTCAGCTCTACCATTTGACCATCGGGGGCAGAACATTTATTTTTTATTTATTTTTTTAATTTTGGTCCTAAGCTAACGCTATCTTTTCCACATTGGGTCAAGGACCGGTGGAGCCGGCAAGGATCACTACGTACAGGCCCAACTCATTCCAACCGCATGAACTTCTACTGAAATTGTAGAAGTTAACAGCAAAACTAAAATCAAAAACATAAATCAAAAACATAAATCAAAAACATAAATCAAAAACATAAATCAAAAACTGAAATCAAATTTGGAAGAAATACTGTTTGATCCGGATCCCGCGCTTCTCGCCCGTTCCCTTTCCTGCCACATCTTCCAGGTGACTTTTTCTTATCTCCGCTGAGAGCGAAAGACTAGTTCGCAGATACCCTGAATTCAGCTGGTATCCTGCTATATATATTGAAGCTTTTTGTAGACTTCACCGAGGGTTGCTGTACCCTCAGACTTCTTCTTCGGATCCCAGGATTCCGAAACCCGATCCCTCGGCCATCGAGACATCCCTCGTTGAGGCCATCGTTGCCTCTTCGGCCCTTTTGGATGCAGCCCTAAATCGAGCCACTCTCGCGAACTCCCCTTGCTGGATCTGGCGGATCCGCGCGAGCTGCTCTTTTGTCACCGGTCCGGACTTGCTGGGTCTGGCTAAGCAGGCCCGGGAATCCGATCGGTGAGGTCCCCCACAGTTTCGACACCGGGTGAGGGCCTTGCACTCTGGTTCTGAGTGCATATTAGATCCGCATTTCCAGCAAGCTGGAGCGCGGAAACAACCACGGGTGGCGTGAAATTCAAGACACCGTTTGCATTGTTCGATTTTGCGACGAGGTCGGAAGAGCTTTGCAGCTCCAGAGTCGTCGAAAAGGCGGAATCCGGGTCGAGGAGCGGATTCTCGGGGAAAGAGCGCTTGCCAATTTGAGTAGGGCGGGGGGGGCAGGACATTTTTTTTTTTAATAAATTTTAGGTTCTAAGCTATGCTCTATATCTCCTAGAAGTCAAGTACCGGTGTACACGGCCAAGATCATGCTTCCCACATGCCTGACTCGGTCTCACTGCGTGACCCACTACACAACCAGTAGCTAGTTATAAGAAAGAATATAAATGCTCCCATGACCAAAATTCCAAATCCAATAATCCAATTTGAGGTGGGAAAGCGACACTCCTCGTCTCGTTTTCCTTCCTGTCATGCTTCGTGCTATGACCTAGTTAATTTTGTCTCCGCTGAGAGCTGGTGACGGACTTGCAGGTGAGTCGCCGAAGCAGCCGGTTTCCTGTGCAAAATTTGTAAAATCCTCAAGGCACTTAGGCCCGAGAAGCTTTTGGACAAAGTCGTGATGTGACATTGTCCCTCGGAGTCGACGCGTCTGACGTTCGTGCAACTCTATCAGCCTCTTCGTTTCCCTGTATCCCAGAGTGGGCTGGTATCCACTGAACCGAGACTCGAGCCTTTTCTGATAGCGCCCTAAATTGGCGTACATCGTCGAGACTTGTTGTGGCGGTTCCCGTAAGCAGTGCCTTCACTGCAGACTGACTATCCGTCAACACGTTGATCCACTGCCTGCCGTTACTTCTCCCGTTCTCTCTCTCCAACAATCCTAGCGCAGCTTCCAGGGCCTTCCTCGCCCCTAGTATTTCCGCATCGAGCACTTCACCACCATGCTTGATACCACATCCCTTCAACAGAGTCTTTCCATCCCTCTTCAAGACGAACCCCCATGCTGAGCGACCATGCCCCTCCGACGATCCATCCGGGTAGGCACAGATATCCGATGGCAATACACCTCTAAGGAACCGAGTTACCTTGTCCTCCTCTTCTGTCCTTGGGCTGAAGTTCGACAGATAGCATGGCGGCGGCAGAGGCTTAGCGTCTTCCGCGTCCGGGAGTTGTCGGTAGGCCCGCTGCACTCTTGACATCTGGATCTCCGGATTCTTGGGTGAAACATTTGACCTGCGCCCGGGGGGCAGGATATGATCATATGCTTGGGATTTTGTGATCGGTAGCCGCATGGACAACCTGGACTTAATACTCCAGGTAATTTTCTTCTGTGTAAATACGAATTAAGCCCCATGTGCTCACTTCGTATTTGCATTGCTAAACTGCTTTGGGCCCTTGTCAGGTTACGGTAAAAGTAAATGTTATATATCATCTTGATTTAGTCTTTTTATTTCCTGTGTAAAGGTCCATGAAAATAAATGGTCGCATTACTGAAGAAAAAAAGATTGAAGCATCAAAACCCATAGTTACGCCAAGTTAGTACAACCCAGTTTTATACCAAGTTCCTACCTTTTTAGTATTTCTTTCATTATTTCTATCAATTCCATTAAATCCTCCATAGAAAAGCTATAGTTTAGGCGAAGTTGAATAATAATGTAACACCTTGGCTATGTCCCGGTCTTTGGAGCATTTTTTTTTTGCATCAGATTTTAATTGCGTATGTAGCTATCTAGCTATGACACAATATCAAAGAAAAGTACATAATAGATGACTCAATGTAAAGGAGTAGCACTCATGCCTCGGATTCCATTTGCAAGTACCACTGCGAAGTTATGGTGGCTTTTTCTTCACCCTCAAGTCAACCCTCATCCGTGAATACCCACTCAGGGGAACTTCCCAGAAACCCTGAGTTATCCAGACATGCCTCCATCATCTTTCAACTTTTCTCCGCGCGAAATGTGATCTGAGGCGTCTCCTTCCCAAGTGAAGTAGGTGTCCAGGCTACTCAAACTATACCGGAGAACACCACTTTGGAGTATTCGAAAAGATGGCGAGGATAGTCATACCTCCACCGGAACGTTATTCTTTTTTTTAATATAGCATGAGTGTATTCAGCTATCTAGCTATGACACATGAGCGGTGCTATGTGTACATGTATGACGAATCTTTTCTCCCATCTCGAGCGGGATATTTGTCAAAGCTGTCCAAACTCTTCTTGGGAGAACGACCCAGATGATGCACCACCGCACCATCCAGCCATGGCGATGTTTATAGTGTCGCCTGCACTCTCGAAATCGAAGTTTTGGCGCAAACCTCAAGGTCAAATAGTAAAATTCTTATCCAAAAATCGAAATTTCGCGCCCGTTGGACTTGTTTCCATCCTCTACATCCTATTGTAAACTTGTCCCGATTTCTCTCACATCCATTCTAAAGAACTGCCTCCCAGGTTTGTGTGCTACAATCTTTCTCCTCCGGCGGGTATTCACATTCTCATGGGCGTGTACGTGGAGGCCATTCAAAGCCAGAGAATAATCGATAAGAAGTATAGTCACTGCATTCAAGATGTAAATGGTCGTGCCTGAAGACTTGATAAGGCTTCATAAGGTATCGATGTCGTTTGGAGTGAAAATTTGGCATGCTGTAGTATCTTGAAACATTGCTCCATGGGCTAACTTGTTCGGTATAGCTAAATTTGACTAAACATGGCTCTGGGTGTTACAAGCTGTAGCCTTGTATGTGGATCCGGAACTATCCGGCTCCGTCTATGAACAGAAGCGCGCTAGTGTCACGGGAAAACGCGCTTGATTGGAACAAAACATGTTGCGCGCGCGTCGTCAATACTCTCCCCATTAGATAAAATATAAATTCATTTTTGGACCCATACTTGTGAACAACAAATGTGAAGTCCCTTCAAACTGGGAGAACATTTCACTCGCAGGTTAGCAGAGGACACCGCGTACAGGTGTTTAGTCTTGCCCTCCGAATGGCTATTCGTCACGGCCAATATATCAATCATCCTTCAAGTAACGAAATAGGCGAGGAGCACTGTACAGGACGTGTTCTGGGCCAGAGAGGAGCCCAATGTGCTAGATAGTCATAGTCTCAAGTAGCACAATAAACATACACACTGACTCACTCATGTTTAGTAGATGCAAATGATGTCACCAAACTGTAACAAACAACAGCTATATTTAACATCAATTAGATTTCGTTACCATTTAACATTAGGTGCCCAGTATACAATATATTAATTCTCATGACTTCTCGGTGATTCCTGGTGGATTCGAATTTATGAAACTGATATTAGCGCAGCCTTATGAAAGTTTGGGTTACGGGCGTCTCGTGACGACATACTACCAGTATGTATGTAAGAGCTTACGACTAGATATAACCTGGCTTTCTATGAATACAGGATATCGTCCATTGAAATATATTCTAACCCTTTCCTTGAGCCTAGACTCCGACGTTAACATCGTTACTTAATCATTGTAGTTTTTCTGTGCCTCTAACAAGCCACGGGGTCTATAAATCTATGATCCTCATCATGAAGGCGCGTATGCGTCTCAAAACACTTAGATTTCTATAATAATGCCGTCACATTTCATACAAACTTGCACCGACATTTTCCAGCTTTTTTCCTTTCTCAGTTGCTTCATCTTTCATTTTTTCTGCGTAGCTAACTAGAATTTTTCTAATATTCAAGTCGCTCGCACCGAGAATCCTACAAGCTAATAGAGCCGCATTGACCTGAGTATTAATGTTAAGGGGATAAGATTGAAGGATATGTGAAGTACTTACGCTATTGTTAATAGCCACTGTGGCTACTGGTACACCTCGAGGCATTTGGACTATACTTAATAGACTATCCATACCGTCCAATGTACTACCTCGTACAGGTACTCCGATCACCGGCAAGGGTGTGCTGGCAGCAAGCATTCCCGGTAAATGAGCCGCACCACCTGCCGCCGCAATGATAACCTTGAAACCTCTCGAAGCGGCTGAAGCAGCGAATTCCAGCATGCGTTCGGGGGTGCGGTGTGCCGAAGTGATTGTTACGAAGAACGGAATTCCTAGCGTCTCCAATAGTGAGAGGCCAGGCTTCATCACAGGAAGATCCGAGTCGGATCCCATGGTGATAGCTATAAGTGGGTTAACAGTAGAAGAGGCTTTAGAGGTAGATGTAGTCAAGCCAATAGAGGGTACTGGTATATTTTTCCTTGCAGATCGACATATATCTGCAAGATGCACCAGATGCGCCAACGATTTTTCAGCTACAATTTATCAGCTGAATATTCTTCATCAATCACTCCAAGGGACTTTTCGATAAATACCTTCCATCATATCCTTGGAGACAATTGTTGCGTGCCCTATTTTCCTTCCAGGTTTTGATTCCTTACCATACATGTGTAGTCCCACTGAAGGAATTGATACAGCACATTGTACCATTTCTTCGTGTGAACTTGGTAAAGCTCCACCTAGAATATTTAACATGATACTTGCTGGTGCCATGCACGGTATAACGGAGTCAGTAAATTTAGGCATAATATCAAGAATGGAAAGGATATGAGCCTTGAATTGAGAAAAAGTCGGACACGCTTCAATTGTGTAATGACCAGAATTATGTGGCCGTGGCGCAATTTCATTGACAAGAAGGGTGTCTATTTATTGTCATTAATACATCTGAGTGCAGTTGATTTGATCACGTACCATCATCAAGTAGAAATAGTTCTACCCCGAAGACTCCCTTTCCCCATAGACTCCCCACGGCTTTGCGGGCAATATCCTGAGAGTTCTTCAATATCTCATCTGAAATATTTCGTGCAGGCGCATAGACTAGCTTGCAAACGTTGTCCTCCTGCACTGTTTCAACGGCAGGATATGCGACTGTTGCTTCCCCACTCATGCTCACACTGTCTTCGGTTTTGGCTACCATAACAGCAATTTCCATTCTATAATTAGCCCATTTTTCAGCATATAATTCCTGTCCTTTTAGAGCATTCAATGCATCATTGATATCAGCAGAAGATTTAATGACATAATTCCCTGCCTCAGTTAGTCCACTGGATTAGAGAAACCTTCATATCTTCAAGCAACCTTTTCCGTCATAGGCTCCTTTCTTAGTCTTTAGCATGAATGGGAACCCAAACTCCTGGGCAAATCCAATAAGCTCCTCCGGATTCGAATTAAGTGATCGATGAGGAACAGTTTGGAGTCCATTTTTCATAAGATGTTCTTTTTGAACGTATTTATCCTGTATGGTTCGAATTGTTCTCCAACATGGTTGGATATCGACCATTTTCAATTTGGAACTTCCATTCTCGTCATTTATCATGACACCTCTTGTTGCTATATCTTCCAATACATAGGTGTCCACATGCTCGGTTTCTACCGTTAGAACATCCGATAATCGAGCCAGCTCTCTTATCTTTTCAGGATCTGTGTATGAACCATCGACGTGTGTGACCCTAGCGTTAACTTGCTTAGCTGGTGAGTTTTTAGCATCAAGTACTACAACTTTGACGCTTAAAGAATTTGCAGCTTCACATAACATCTGTCCAAGTTGTCCACCGCCCAAGACTCCGATAGTTCGATCCATACCGCAGGATTTATGATAACCTTTCGTAAAATCGTAAAATCGTAAAAGCGTAAAATCGTTGGTTCCCTATTATCTAGATAATGTCACGTTATGCTGTAAAGAAAACCCTAGGGATTAAAATCGGGTGTATTGAATCAATTGCAGAGAGAGTCACAGAAGTGTATCTTGCTTTTAGATACTTTATATACAATGTGGGTCACGTGATAGATAAAATGTGGCACGTGATAAGACATCATTGTTCGTCCCTCACAAATGTACTTTGTTAGTAGACTAGGGGAGCCGGCAAAAACGAGTTTTCCACCTCCCAGTGGTGCCGGTGTGATCGCTCAGTGTGCTCTGCATATCTGGGATAGCCAAGAAGAATCGCATCCGAATCGAAGTCGAAAGTAATCTCAAACACATCTCCATTTGACAACTTCTCGACAATGCCTCTCTCATCATTATCATCTGAGTCCTCAACCCATCTCTAACCACGCATCATCTCGCCTCACCGACCAATAAAGAAGTTGCTCCAATTGCATACAGGAGCTTGCCCCATTAATCTCCAGCCATCTCTCACTACATATTTACGACGCTATTTATACCCGCAAGGAGGAAATCAAGTCGAAAAATATAAAGCCTGGGTCTTGGCTCATGGGGGACTGTTGCTCTAATAGGGTAAGGAACTTGAGGAAGAACAGGCGGCTGAGATTTAGAGCGAGGGGGGGAACAAGTCTCTGAAGGCTATACTGAGGCTGATATTTTCGAGGGGTTTCAACTTTGGATTTTTTGTGGGCGCCAAGACCAAGATTCCGGCTAATTAGCCAGGAGGGCGTCTTTTGTCGATGAGTCAATAGCACAAAAGAAGTTGGGTTAAGATACCATACAGCAATCACGCTCTGTCAAGACTTTTCTGACATTTCAGCACGACCTTCGGGAAGGAGGCTAGAAAGGCAGAGGGTGAATTTCCCGAGGTGCCCGCAAGTTTGCAGCGCCCAGCTGGCCGGCCTCTTCGAACACTTAAGAAGGATCATTATGGATATAGTCTTAATGTCGGTATTAGGAGAGCTCCGCACCCAGTGGTTTTTTGCGATTTTTCCCTGCTGCCATACACCCGCAAATGGCCATCATTTCGTTGGCTGGAGAGGGGAGATAATGAAGGGCTAAGGGCTCCTCTAAGTTTATGATCGAATGAGGACTTGTAAGGGGTGGTACTGTTTGAGTGGAGCTGTATGGGAGGCATAGGAGGGGATATACTGATGGTGTAGGTATCCTTGGCCTATAAGCAGAGGGAACCTGCATGCCCTACATAGTCATAGATTCAGATAGCACAATAAAATGAATTAATAATAAAAATAATATTAATAATAGTAGACACGGGGACTCTTCTTGGAGAATCTGCCGAAGTGTATGATGCAGAAATAGTCGGGGCCGCTGAAGGCCTAGATGCTGCTCTCTATAATCCGATGGCCCGATTGTCCACAAATATTACGATATGCCTAGATAATCAGGAAGCCGCCCTTCGCCTCCTCATAGATACACCTACCCCAAGCAGTTCCTCTCGTATCGTTCGGTTCTGAGACCTCGCTACCAGGTGGATAGAAAGAGAACTTTTTTTTTGGCATCATATTTTAATTGCGTGTGCAGCTATCTAGCTATGACACAATATCAAAGAAAAGCACAGAATAGATGATTCAGCCTAATGGAGGAGCACTAATGCCTCAGATTCCATTTGCAAGTACCACTGCGAAGTTATGGTGGCTTTTTCTTCACCCTCAAGTCTACCCTCATCAGTGAATACCCGCCCACGGTAACGTCTCAAAAACTCTTCGTTATCTAGGCATTCCTTCATCATCGATTAACTTGTCTCCGCGAAAAATTCTACGCAAGTCTTACACTCCTCAGGTGAAGTTAATACCGGGACTAATTTTTTTTTTATAATTATTTAACGTCGTGCTAGCTCACAACACACACAATTTTTTGAAATTCGAATTTTTGAATCTTCACCTGTTTCCCGTCTCCCTCCCTCACGCGCTCGTCGCATTCTATCAAAAAATTGTGATCGGGTCACTGGCATTTTCACCATGCCACCTGTTCGAAAAAAGCGTCCCAACGCCAAGTTGGACAACACGAGAGTCCACCCGAGGGCTCTCGAGCAAATATCAGGCCTTGTCAAGTCTCCGAAATGCGCGGAGATGAGCAAGGTCTCAATCAAAGGGAAGGAAAAAGCCCTCCCCGCCGTCGCTGAACCCGATACTGACATGATCGGGCCAGTCGAAATTGTGGAGGAAATTCCTCAACGAACCTCCGTCCCCCACGGGATTGGAGGATCATCCAAACCTCCTCCGACCACCTCAAAACCGTCGGAAAACGCTGCACCCATAGCAGCGTCAACATCAACGTCGCAGCCTAAAGCTGCCACGAAACCAGAGTGTCCCCTCGAACTTCGACCAATTGTCGAAGCCGAAAAACGACGCGCCGCCGAAATAGCGGCAAATCTGGCCCTCTGCTCCGCCGCCATCTCTGGCGTCGAAGCCGCCCTCCTCCCTTTGACCAACGGGTCAAATAAACAATTCGTAGACTCCATGAGAGTCTACCTACGCGCCGCCATTGCGCAATACATGGCCACGGGCCCGGCCACTACGCCACCCGTCCTCCCTCCTCGCCCGACAAACCCTCTCCCAAGGGCTCCCGAAGCTAGGAGTAACACAACTCCTGCCGTCCCAGTTCTGCCTGTCAAAAGCACCTGGGCCACGGTGGCCAGGACCGGACTGCGACAGAAAGCAGTCCCAACTGCAAAGGCTGTGCCACGACCTGCGGCAAAAGCCCATCAAAAAGAAACCCCCAAGGCGAAAGTCGACAAGCGACTGTTCCTTCGCCTTGAAAAGGACCACCCGTGGCGAAAACTGTCCACAAGTTGCGTGAGAAGTAAATTGGAGATGAGATTACTTTTCTTTCACGATAAAATAACCTCGCTTCATCGAGTGAGGACCGGCTTTGCTATGCTAGCAAAGGACGAAAAAACACGACAAGAGATGCTAGATGACTCTTCGAAGCTGGCTAGTGAAAACGCCAAACTCGAGGCATCTTCAGATCTTGTAGCCTTACAGATACCAAACGTACCTGTAAGTATAATCATAGAGCGAGGCCCTATGGCGGTCGATTCTGAGTGGGTCTTCGACAAGATCGCTGTTATGACCGGCACAAGACCAATACACGTCCGACCTCATGGGACATGTCGACCTGGGGCACCGCACCGAAACTGGCATGCCCTTTTCGACCGGGAAGTCGCCCCTCGTGCGGGCTTCCGCCTCTTCGACGAGTCTGGTAGGGCTACCATACACAAGCCTCGTCGACAAATTGAACAGTGTAAACGCTGTTTGGGCTTCCACGCCACCCGTGGTTGCTCCCGCGCTCCAGCCTGCTGGAACTGTGGATCTAACATGCACTCGGAAGCCGAGTGCAAGGCCCTCACTAAGTGTCGCAACTGTGGGGGACCTCACCGATCGGATTCTCGGGCCTGTCAGGTCAGACCCAAAAAATCCGGACCGGTGACCAAAGAGCAGCTCGCGTGGATACGCCACCTCGAGCAAGGGAAGTTCGCGGAGGCGGCTCGAGCTAGGGCTGCAGCCAAAAAGGCCGAAGAGGCGATTGTCGCCGCGGCGAAGGATACCGCAATGGCCGAGGCAACAGGTTTCGGAGTGCTGGGACCTGAAGAAGAAGTTTGAGGACACAGCAACCTCGACGATGTCCCCTTCTGGGGCATCTACTAACAATTAGCAGGATACCGGCTGGATCAAAGGTGCCTGCTAACCCATCTACTGCTCTCAGCGGAGATTAAGTAAATTTGTCATTTGGAAGGTGTGACGGACGAGGGAATGTGTGAGGAGCACATTGACTGGGTCCGTTACGGAGGAATCTTCTGGTTTTTTCGGAGTTGTTTTGATTTTCTTCATTTTTCGTTTCTGTTTAATCAGCTGCACTTTTGGTAGCGATTCACGAGGTTGGAACGAGTTAGGCTGTAGGAAAGATTACAGGGAACCCTGCCGGCTCCGCCTGTCCTTGACCCAATGTGGAAAACATAGCTTTAGCTTAGGACAAAATAAACAAAACAAAAAAAAAAAAACAACCTTAAGGTCTCGTGTTGGCCAGCTCAGTCTATATAAACTACCCGACGTAATACCGGGGCTACTTAAACTATGCCAGAGAATAACACTAGGAGGTAGAACACGGTACCTTCCATCGTTGGCTTTTTTTATAGTGTCACCTGCACTCTCGCAAGCGAAGTCTTGGCGCGCATAAAGCTCAATTCGTAAAACTCTTACCAAAATTCGAAATTTCACGCCCTTCGAGGTAATATCCTTCCTTTGTATCATCTTGTAAACTTATCCTAATCCCTCTCACGTCCATCCCAAAGAACTGTCTCCCAGTTTTGTGCGCCACACATTGCTTCCTCCGTCGGGTGTAAATATCGACGTGGGCGTCTATTTGGCGACCAGCTGAGGCCAGAGAAAGTCGACGAGAGGTGTGGTCATAGGTATGAGGACGTACTTGGTCGTACCTGTAGACTTGGTGAGACTTAGGTAGGCGTCAAACTCGTTGGGAGCGGAAAAACGACGTGGTGGAGTAAATTTAAATCTTGACTCGTGGGCCAACTTCTTTGATATTGCGAAATTTGACAGAACTTGGCTCTGGGAGAATATTTCATTCCCAAGTTCGTAGAGGTCACTGATTTTTTTTTTTAATCATTTGATGTGAATTCAGCTATCTAGGTATGACACATGACCGGTGCTATGTATACATGTGGGATGACTCTTTTGACGTTAGAGACACTCATACTCTGGATTTCATTCGCAAATACCACTGTGAGATATGTTCGCTTACATAAACAGTCGACCCTCCTCCTTAAGTACCCACCAAAGGGAATTTCAAAACCTTTGGTTATCCAAGCATGTCTTCGTCATCCATGCATACCAGCGCCGCGAGAATTGTGGTTGTGTTTTGCCGGATTTGAACCAGCGATCTACTGTCTCGAGTGGGATATGTGTCCAAGCTATCCAGACTCTACTTGGCAGACCGGCCAAGACGATGTACCACCCCACCATCCAACCATGGCGGTGTTTATAGTGTCGCCTGCACTCTCGCAAGCGAAGCCTTGGCACGCACAAAGCTCAATTTGTAAAACTCTTACCAAAATTCGGAATTTCACGCCCTTCGAGGTAATATCCTTCCTTTGTATCATCTTGTGAACTTATCCTAATCCCTCTCACGTCCATCCCAAAGAACTGTCTCCCAGATTTGTGCGCCACGCTTTGCTCCCTCAGTCGGGTATAAATATCGGCGTGGGCGTGTATCTGGCGACCAGCTGAGGCCAGAGAAAGTCGACAACAGGTGTGGTCATTGCAATAAGGATGTACTAGGTCGTACTTGTAGACTTGATGAGGCTTAGATAGGATTCGATCTTTTTTGGAATGAAAATTTGACGTGGTGGAGTTATTTGAATCATTGCCTCATGGGCCAACTCGTTCGGTATTGCGAAATTTGACTGAACTCGGCTCTGGGAGAATATTTCACTCCCAGGTTCGCAGAGGACACCGCGTATAGGTGTTCAGTCTTGCCCTCCTTCGGCTAATCCTTTACTGTGCCTTGCTTGCCACACACAACTTGGCTTGTGTAACACCTCACAGCTCATACCTACACATAGGTACCGTATATCACAACAAATTAATCCTCTTGATTAAAACCAGAGATCTATATATTCATACACACTGAATCTAGATTTCCAATAATTTGACCGCAGTTCTTTCAAATTGAAGAGCAATGTTATGTCAAACCTTAGATTGTGGTAGTGCAGCTCATAGCTTAGAAACAAGTCGACGATTAATGGTACTATTTTTTTTAATCTATTTACGTCCTATTGAGTTTCCAACTATGTAGGACAGACTATTTAAATACAACTTTTCATTTTCATTCTAATTGGGGGTTTCGATAAGTTGATGGTGGGATCCTGAATACTGTTTCATCAGGGGTTTAATGGTGCTATGGTCTGCCTCCTAGTGTTATTCTCTGGCATAGTTTAAGTAGCCCCGGTAATAACTTCACCTGAGGGGTGTAAGCCTTGCGTAGAATTTTTCGCGGAGACAAGTTAATGGATGATGAAGGAATGCCTAGATAACGAAGAGTTTTTGAGACGTTACCGTGGGCGGGTATTCACTGATGAGGGTAGACTTGAGGGTGAAGAAAAAGCCACCATAACTTCGCAGTGGTACTTGCAAATGGAATCTGAGGCATTAGTGCTCCTCCATTAGGCTGAATCATCTATTCTGTGCTTTTCTTTGATATTGTGTCATAGCTAGATAGCTGCACACGCAATTAAAATCTGATGCAAAAAAAAAGGTAATGTCGAATATGACCAATGCGTCATCAATGCAGAGTTTTAGCCTGAGGTATCAATAAGAGTAAGGCCTTATCATATCTTGATATATATGTTATGACGACGCTAAAGACATGCCTTGGGCTTTTTCCGATGAATATTGCACTCGACTTAACAAGAACGTCAGATATCGCTCAATTTTAATAACTCAGTACGAGATGATCAGCTACATTTCAGACTTAGTGCAGTTCCTCGAATGCCTACTTGAAAATTACGCCCGCACACAAGTTTCCCGATGATAGAAATAATCTGGTAGGAAACCTGGCTGTGAGTCGGTCGAAAAATGTCTTCAGGGTACCGGTCTTCTTTTCATGTTATAAGACGTGCTCACTCACCGGTTTCAGCTCTCTCAAAGACCTCATTAAAGCTATCTCCAAGTATAATCAAGAATTCTCCCTACCTTTGCCAGTGCCTTTACTTGAAATAATATCTTCCTACCTTGAAAGGCACAGTGCTGATGATGAATTGGACTCTCAAATTCTCCAAGATGAACTTCTGACAGTTTATCAAGCTATAGCCGTTGAAAACTCTGCTTGTCTTATCGCCTTTCTAGCAGTACTTCAAAGACTGAAGATAGTTTTGCGAGACTCGGGGAGGCTATTCCAGTGGTGGAATCAAATATTAACACCCATCATTCAAAATTTCAGTGCTGAGCCATTGCTGGCTGTGGAAACCAAAAAAATTCTACTCGAGTTATTGCTGTACGATGATGATAACGCTGAGGGGAGACAGGTGGAAAATGCGAAGGCCACTAGCTGCGCTATAACAGAGATTCTTCTGGCAAGTTGGCTAGAGATGACAAAAAAGGCCGACGAAGAGCTAAACGATCATGCAAGTACAGTTTCAGACCAGATTCAAACAATCCTGATTGAATTCGGGAAGAAAAAACCAAGGGTAACAAATACTTCGATTATCGGATAAAATAATAGTTAAGCTGATTGAGGTAGAACTTATTGTCAGTACTAAACTCAACTTTTGTACAGCAGGAAACTCGAGTTTTGTCCCTATCTCTACTCTGTAGTTTTTTCAGAGATCCACCTCCTCGTCTCCATGAAATGCTTTCAACGCCTCTTTTCATGAATCTCCTTCGATGCCTGCAGAGCGACTCTTCTGTTCGAGTAGTTTCTCTAGCGATGACAGCACTAATAATGTTTCTTCCCCATATCCCAAGTATAACCTCGAAACATTTACCTGCGCTATTCAATATCTACACTCGCTTGCTTTTTTGGGATAGGGTAAAAAGGGCCGAAGAATCTTCGTCTCCCGTAGAGAATGAGGGAGAAAGAGATGATACCGCAGAATTTGATTGGCCAAAGCTTCACAATTTTCTCGATGTTGATGATGAATCTGTACCAGAAATATTACATTTTTTTACCTTTCTTTATGGTCTTTATCCGATTAACTTTATGAGCTATATCCGGAAGCCTCGAAAATATCTACGGCAAGCTAAATTTCCAGGCGTGGATGAACTCGATATCCAACCAATAGAACTGATACAAAGATCAGAGCCTTTCAGGCAAGTGCATCTGCTACATCCAAATTTCCTGACCTTCACCATTGATTCAGAACTCAATGATAACAATCGTTGGGTAAAGAGTGATGCTGCAGATGTGGTTGCTGAATGTATGGCGCTCCATGTCCCAAGTGATGATATGCATGAGCCGCCACACAACCCAAATTGGCGGGCTATAGAGCCAAATGAATTTGTGACTGACCATCTTAATATTCAAGAGAGTTTCAGTATGTCCCATCAAGCTCCGTATCCTGTTAAAATAAAATCCAGCTGTAAATCAGCTGGATTACCTGATAGACCGTATAGCTCAATAGACTCCCCAATCGATTTCCCGATTAGAAACTCAAATTTATCGGACAAAAATTCTCTTTCTAGCAGTTCATTTAAAAAAGAGACAAAAATAATAAAAGATACTCACATATCCTTATCAGCCAGATATTTAAACAAAAATGATACTCTCGCACCTACAAAGCATGTTAATAGCGAGGAGCAAAGAAGTATGATCGACGACTCTGTCGCTTCTCTCACATTGACTAATCATTCGGAACCCGTCAAAAATTATGTATCATGCTCAGGCTACAGTAATTCGTTCCAGTGTTTCCCACATCACGAAGTTCCCTCCCATTCTGCCTACTGTAACTCACGCTTAGCGTATCTTTGCCGAGAAATACAGCTTCTTAAGAACAACCTCAATTTTGAGCGGTACCTGAAGCAGCAACACATCTCCCATATCGGTCGTCTGCGGCGTAAGCAGATAAGAGAAGCCCGCATAGAAGCCGAAACTCAAAATGTCATTACTTCTAACCGTACACTAAAACTAAAATTAGAAGAAGTTAAACGGCAAAATACACAGCTCAAAAAAGAATGTGAGAAATCCAAATCTCATTGTCGCAAATGGGAAGCACAACTCAGTGCTAAACTACGTTTATTACGTGAAGAACAGAGGAAATGGATCGTCGAACGTGAGAATCTCACACGAGACATAAATACTGCTACCAACGATATAGCAACCATGAAGCATATAATTGTGCAGGCAGAAGCAAACGAGCTGAAAGCTCTACAAAAGGCAACCCACGCTGAGAGTAACCTTGAAGAGCTTGAACATCTAAGAAGAGAGGTCAGAGATCTAGTATTACGTGTCCGTATATTTGAGGTTAAGGAGGAGGTAGCCAAGACTTCAAAAAGTGAAGAAAGCTCAGCAGATTCTCGCATATTTATGCTTGAAGCTGAACTTACAGCTCGTGATCAAGAACTGATTGAGGCCAAAAAGACATTTGAAAAGGAACTCTCACTAATGCGTGAGCGAGTATCAGAACAATATAATACATCACTCAAATCGAAAAAAGACTGTGTACAAAATGCAAATAAAAACTCAGCAGCTGCATCTCGTACCCGAATGACAGAGCTACAAAAGAGTTATGATCATTTACTAACTCGTTACTTAAAGTTACAAGATGAAAACTATAGTTTACGAAGTAAACTCCCCAAGAACATCAGTCGAGACACAGAAAAAATAACTAATTACGAAAAATCGTCTCAATCTTGCTCACTGAGTACTCATTTAAAAAATAGCGAAAGTAACAATTCTTTGCATAATTCAAGTGGTAGTTATCCAGACGACGATAATATTTCCTCACAGCCCACACCAGAACTTCTTGACAGCGGCAAATAATTGAATGGTTCAGTTTCTTAGATTGGAAGTTAATCTGATATAACTAGAAGCTACTCAAATCCCAAACAAACTAGAAAAAAGGGTTAAATTGGATTATAAGGTGGGAAAATTACAAAGACCCTCTGCCTCTATTCATCAGAAAAGAAGGCAAGTGAGGAAATAGATATAACGAGATCATCTCAGATGCTAAGTTAAAATCAAGATGGCTGGCGTTGAAAAGATCGAATGTGTTTAGGACTAAACCTGACTACTCACACTCTTAAGCTCAAGAGGAGCCAGGGAAGTCATAAACCTAAGAATTACTTCAATATTTATGTAAAGTTATAAATTCTTAATCGGAAAGAAATAAAAATATGTGAGTCATCCTGCTACGATTTGATTCGAATAAATTTGCATATCAGGCTAAATTCCAAAAGCCAGGAGGCTCAGCATGTGTATTTCCTTCAAGGAGACACCACAACCAACAATACTGCATTAAAATCACTGGTGAATATAAACTGAGGCAAAAAACTCATGATTCTTAGAGAGTGCTCTGCGCGCAGCATTCTTTCTCATAGCAATTGTTTTAGATGATTGCCCTCCAATAAGCATAGAATCCTTCTATCTAAAATTTCTCCACTGTGACACTGCCCGTTACCGATATATGTTAATACAAGCTTCCTCATCTTTTTTCTTTCAATATTTCCCGCTAATTTCACAAATTTTACCTTACAGAGCATCGCAATGGTTGTAAAACAGACAAGAACTCTGGAGAGTGCTACGGATGTCTCGTCGATTTGCAAATCTTTGAAGGTAATAACTTCCAAGTGAGATATCTCATAAAACTTGCCAAATACTATGACTAACTTAAAACTTGTCTGGACCCCCAACTCAGCTTTAGACACCGTGTTATGGTCTAGTGTAGGAAATATTTCAAGTTGTCCATAACAATAACGCTTCCAAATGACTCTCGAGATGCTGTACAAGTAGCTTTGATAAGAGAAATAGACGTGTTTATTGTTTCAATCGCAATTTTTAGAGCGGAAGTGGCAGTTAGGCCTCAAATTTCTGACAAAATCAGGTATGGCAGCATCGCTACAGTAAATCTTCATTAATGATTGAAATGGCCATTCTGATCAATCTCTAATCTAAATTTCAAGTTTTGAGTAGAGCTCTAAGCGTGGTTCTGTAAAGCGAGAGGCAACCCCCTGGACAAGATCATAATGGAGGGAAACCAACTACAACTTTCTCAGATATCAGTATCCAATATATTTAAGCTTAGACTTTTTTCCTTTTATTGGAACCTCATCTTCTTTCTGTCCACGACAGTCCAACATTCAATTAATTTGATTATTTAATCATAAGCCTTAGTGCTCCTCTACCCTCTCTATATTCGATGCGTCAAGACATCGAGATGGCCTTCCCGTGCAACCACGGTACATCACTATACATCTACGAGTATCATCAAAAATCTGATCTTCCCCCACCATGGTCTCCAGCCTGCGAGGGAAAGCTAATGGAAATCGAAGCACTAGGTAGACTCTCGGGAGCAAACTCCTTCAAACAGTGGCACTCGTACTGTCCTATCTTAGACATGTTTGTATTTTCATATGAAGCTTTCATATATGACCGAGCAGGTGCAGAATAGGTGATCTTTCGAGGTATTACGTAGGAAATTAGGCGAGGATCACTCCATCTTGGAAACTCGGCAAAAGTCTATGATGCTAAAATAGCCAGGGCTACGGAAGGTATTGCTGCAGCACTCCGCAACCCACTGGCCTACTATGCCACTAATGTTACCGTTTGCCTTGAAAACTAGGAGGCTGCCCTCCGCCTACACTCTGATACACCTACCGCTTCTAGCTCCACAAAAATCCACCACTTTTGTAAGCTCGCAGATAACTGGAAAATGAGATCACGTGGTCAAAATACGACGCCTTGGGAAGTAGCTGTTCGCTGGTGCCTAGGCCACGCAGATATCATTGGATACGAAGCCGCTGATGCGCTTGCTAAATCTACATGTGCGGCTCCAGCTCCATAACTGGCACTCTCCATTGCTAGAGAAATGAGGGAAATAAAGGCTCAATACGAGGCTTCCGCCAAACTCTACTGGGCTGAAAACTCACCGTCTCGATACAAAGAGCTAGGAATTAAATCAAATACCAATATCACTGTTGAGCTCACCCACTTGGACGATACATACTTGGATATCTGCTAGCTGCAAGATCTAGACACGACGACTTTGCGGAATATCATCGACGGTTTTTGCACGAAAACGCCATTATAACCTGCTCATGTGGACAGGATAGATCCCTCGATCACTTCTTCTTCTACCACAATTGGAAGTACCAGAATTGGCTAAAGAGGATACAAAATTTTACTTCCAACATGTCTTGGGCTCTGGCTTCAGTAGAGGAAGTTCACGCCTTTAATAGCTGGGCACGTAGCACAGTTTTCTTCATAGGAATATAACAGTAAATATGACTAGACTTGAACCACTGAACAGGAGGCTACAGAGCCTCAGATTGATATAGATATATTCTCTTTTTTTTCATTTTTAAGTTTCCCTATTGTTGAAATATGATATATCTTGGAATGCCAAGAATAACTTATTAGTAAGTCCGGCTAATTTGACTATCAAATTCCTCATTCTATATCACTGTTATCAATACATCCTTCACCGAAAGTTTAATGCGCATCAGCGTTTATTTCACACTAGAATTCCAGCGGATGACTATGTCTTAAATGCAGGTTATAGTTTTCTCGTATCTATTACCGATACACATGTATTTAGCTTTATATTCCTGGCCCATATATGTGTATGTACATAGATCTACATCTACATGGATCATAACTTACGATCCATGGAGATTGATAAATACTGGTCAAAAACCACAGTTGATAAGATATGCAAACACGCAATCTCACTCTTATCATCTCGGTTTTACTCTGAACCATACATCCAAATACAATTGTTTCCACTCGAATCTTCCTCTTACAACCTCATACAAGACTTACTGTATCAGTCTAACCGCCGACACTGATTCCGCTACAACCTCCATCTTCGCTCAAGCTCATAACTTTAACACCTATAACTACCTTCTATAAATCATGAGGTCCGGCATGAGGCTGATGCTCATGTATATTTTTATCTTCGAGCGCAGGAGTATTAGATCCTGGCCTTCTATCGCTATGTTGGGTATTTGTATGCGTCAACACGTCGGGTAGTTTTATTTAGACTGGGCTAGCCGGTACGCGAAGAGCCCACGTGCTGTGCGAGGGTATGACTTTAAATATTAAAAATAAATAAAGAAAATATCAAAAATCCAATCTTTGACGCGGGTCGAAAGAACTTACCCGAAAACTTCGAACTCAACTTATTTAACTATGAGTAACTTCCTCGTCAGTCGATAAAGACGAATTCTTCACGTTCCAGTGGTGCTGGTGTAATCGCTCAATATGCTCTGTAAATTTATGTGACGAAACCAAGCTGGTTGTAGTGATATAGAAAGATTAAACTATATGAAGAGAGAAGTACCACAACTACGGGTAATGACTATTTGTACATCCTTCAAGCTCATCCAGTACGTACTCCGTTGGTGAGCATGACATATTGCTTTGCCACTGCCCGTCGTCATCTTCGCCATCTAGCTTGACACTCTCACTCGGCAATTATACTTCGCCGTCTCAAATTCCTTCCTGCCTCCAATGTAATGTGGCCAAGTAAAACTTAGTCGCTTGATACAAGATAACATGGAACACTCTCCCTAATACGCCCCAAAATCCGCTTAGGTCTCTACTTAAGCTAAATCACGGTCAAACCGTAACAATCTAGGATAACCAAGAAAAGTCGCATCCAAATCAAAGCCGATAACGAACACAAATATATCTAAAATCGATCACTTCTCATCAGATTTTGTTCTTCTCATTCTCACACGATTCCCCTGACTTTATCTTACCATACACCAGACCGTCTCAACGACCGATAATCTTACGGCGTGCGCTAAAGATACTGCAGATCACCATCTTCCGAATGTGAATATTTAATTACTGACCATAATTAATGCTAACGAAGGATATTTAGAGATAATCAAACCAGCCAGGTGTTAGGTGTTCAAGTACTGGAGAGGCGAAGAATATTCGAAAGGGTTAGTCAAGAAGTCAAGTTACGGAGCAAACGAAGAAGTCTATTAACTTAAGATCAACTGAAGTACGAAGGATGTAACGAGTAGTGAAATACTGAGAATATCGGATTATGAGAATATAAGGTTAAAATATTATATAATTGCTCAAATTCGAGATTAAAGACTAAAAGAATAAAATATCGACAAGCTGGAGAGCTATTTTGTGGTAGCTCTAGCTAATTGAAGTTTAACTATATATTTTGCAATTAATCTACTTATGCTAGCACAACATCTAGCCCTGGAGGGTAACGACTGAACACCTGTACGTGTTGTCCTCTATGAACCTAGGAGTGAAATATTCTCCCGGAGCCAAGTTCAGTCAAATGTAGCAATTCCGAGGATTTGGCCCACAAGGTAATGATCCAAAACTATCCCACCCAACGAGATCAATCTCTACCAAAAAGTCATCAAATTTAAGATTGCAATCTAGTACATCCTCATTCCAATGACTACACTTCTCTTCGACTATTCTCTGGCCTCAGCTGGTCGCCAAATAGACGCCCACGTCGATATTTACACCCGACGGAGGAAGCAATGTGTGGCGCACAAATCTGTGAGACAGTTTTTTGGGATGGACGTGAGAGGGATTAGGATAAGTTTACAAGATGGTACAAAGGAAGGATATTACCTCGAAGGGCGTGAAATTCCGAATTTTGGCGAGAAGTTTTACGTAGTGAGCTTTGTGCGCGCCAAGACTTCGGTTACGAGTGTGCAGGTGACACTAGAAACACCGCCATGGTTGGATAGTGTTGTGTTACATGATCTGGGACGGTCTCCTAAGTAACGTCTGGATAGCTAGGACACATCCCCCTTGAGACAGGAGACCACTGGTTCAAA